TTATTTAAACATTTTTAGATTTAAATTTAATGAAATTAATTATGGTTAGTTAGTAGAATAGTAGAAGTGTTTGACTATAAAAATAGCTGAGAATAATTATTATAAAATTTTAATTACTTAAAAAAGTAAAAAATAGTTCTGGTGTGTTGAAGCATCAGCCAAATGGCTTGGCAATGCTTCTCCTTTGACATATAGAAGATCAAAAGTACTGAAATAAGTTTTTTTTTCGAGGGATGAAACTTTAATTCCCAAAAATGGCGAATCTGTTCAGTGCTGCTGCTACGGCTCCTTTCCTCTCACTGCCGATGACAAAAACGTCATCGTTTCACCACTGCTGCTGCGCCTCTTCTTCCACTCCGCCGCCGGAGCAGAACCCGGAGTCTTCTTCTCCTCGTCCGACTGATCAACCTGTCGTCGCATCACAACAGAAGAGGAAGAAAACCGTCGAGACGACTGATTGGGTCGCTTCTTCCTTGACGCGGCGGTTCGGAATCGGCGCCGGTCTTGCCTGGGCGGGTTTTTTAGCTTTCGGCGTCGTCTCCGAGCAGATCAAGACACGGATTGAGGTTTCACAAGAAGAAGCCAACACAAGGTTTGCACCACGCTCGTTTTCAATTCCAAATCTCCATAGCTTCAGTTTCACCATGATCTCCTGTTAATTGTATTAGGGTTTGTAATCATCACCTCAAACTTCTTTTGAAGCTCTTTCTTTTGTGGGTTTTGCAGAGATGTAAAAGAAGAGAAAGAGATCGTCTTGCCCAATGGCATAAGGTACCATTAACAGCTAGAGCACCAATTTTGTCTTAATCCTTCTTAACGCTATGTAGAGACAAACTCTCCTGCTAAAATTGAGAAATGGGTCTTCTTCTTCACCTTTCTGTGTGTATCTCTTATTCACCATAGTTGCCTTGTTATGTTTCTCTGTGGCTTTTTGGGGGTCAAAATCTCATAATTGAAGCTTATTCATGTAACAATGGGTCTCCTTAGCTTGAGATCTTATAACTCCTTGTGTTCTTGAATCAGTCTTGGTTCTCACTGGTCTATATTCAATCGAACTATGTAGGTACTATGATCTACGCCTTGGAGGAGGAGCAACACCAAGGTCAGGAGATTTGGTAGTGATTGATCTAAAAGGACAAGTGCAAGGAACCGGACAAGTGTTCGTGGACACATTTGGAAACAAAGACAAGAAGAAGCCATTGGCTCTTGTGGTGGGTTCAAAACCATATAGCAAAGGGTTATGTGAAGGCACAGATTATGTTCTAAGGTCGATGAAGGCTGGAGGTAAACGAAGAGTGATCGTTCCACCATCGTTAGGATTTGGAGAAGACGGTGCTGAATTGGAATCGGGTTTGCAGATTCCGCCTTCTGCGACGTTGGAGTATATAGTTGAGATTGATAGAGTCTCAATTGCACCTGCTTGAGTTGTATAGCTTTTGTTTTATATAGAGAGCTCAAGGTCCTCCAATTGGTTGTATAAGAGAGATTATGAGCCAAACCGGATCAAAATTCTAAACCAAAATTGCACTGATATGTTTAAATTTATAATTTCATCATAATTTTGTCAAATAGAAATATAATTTCTTTAGTTATTTACATTTGTTGTGGTTTATGCGTGTTTTTTGTGTATAATTGCGACTTTTATGAAGTCAAGCGACGATTACAAAAGATAGCATTTTTTCTTCAAATTCTCTGTAAACGAAGAAAGGAACAAAGGGATTTTTAGGAATCGCTTCATATCAATTTGGGAGAGATTTCCCGGCGGGATCGAGTTTATCGGTAATTCCTTTCGTCGGCGAGAGAATGGGGAAGGTAATCGATTCCCATTACCTGGCGATCACCGCCATTGTCACGGTAAGTCTCCGCGTGCTTTTTGGTGCACTCGCTTCTCGACAAATCACGAATTGGGTTCTTTTTTTCCACTAATTTCGCTTTTTCTTTGGGTGGTTTTTGTAGGTGGGTTATCAATTCATATTCTTCGTTATCACAGCTCTCTTCAAATTTGATCAAGTTACGGACTTTGCCGGTACGATGATCTAAATCGTGTGTTTTCGTGATTGAGTCTCTTTGATTCTAATCACAAATATAAAGAATTCTCATTTTGTTCATGTTTTGCTAATATATGATTCAAAAATGTTTTTCAGGGAGTACTAATTTCGTGATACTTGCTGTATTGACTCTGGTTCTCAGAGGGACATGGCATTTTCGTCAGGTTAGAGAACTCCTCTCCCTCTCTCTCTCTTGTTGTTGGTGCATTGAGTTCTTCTGTATAATTGACTCAATTCTATAATCTCCCAGGTCGTGTTGACCACGCTAGTAGTCATATGGGGACTTCGTCTCGGACTGTTCCTCCTAATGAGGTTTGTACCCTTATCTGATATGCACTCGTTTGTTGATCTCATAGATGCTCTGCAGTCTGCACCATGAGTCATTAGGCTAGTTAGTTTTTACCAAAATTATATATAGGTAAACTCCAATATCGATATGCTTTTACAATTATTGTGCGAGAGACAGAGAGATATACATAACGGTTTATGAAGTATTCTAGTCATGTGTGATGTTATCTATGACATCCTAACTGTGGGAAGTGTGAGTAGGATCTTGAAATGGGGTGAAGATCGGCGCTTTGATGAAATGCGTGGAAATATTGGGAAACTAGTAGTCTTTTGGACTTTTCAGGTTAGCTACAACCTTTGGTGAAATGCTCGGCTAATATGGATGCTAGTGATCTAACATTTATGGGTTTTCTTCTTTTTCCCTTGCCAGGCCGTGTGGGTTTGGACAGTTAGTTTGCCTGTTACTATTGTTAATGCGAGCAACGGTGGAAGATATTTTCAGCCTGCAGATGTTATAGGTTGGACAATGTGGGTTGCAGGGTTCTTGATTGAAGCTACGGCTGATCAACAAAAGCTTTCGTTTAGGAACTGTCCAGAAAACAAAGGAAGATGGTGCGATGTTGGTATATGGAAGTATTCGCGCCATCCAAACTACTTCGGTGAGGTTAGTATTGTTAAATGAGACTCTGGTAAATTCATGTATCGGTTTTGTATGAATTAGAAGAACCTCCAAAAAAAACAAATTGATGGGGTTATTATGAGTTTCAGATGTTACTCTGGTGGGGTATATATGTGGCTTCATTGCCTGTGCTAAAAGGTGCCGAGTACCTTGTCATAATTGGACCAGTCTTTCTCACGTTGCTACTTTTCTTTGTTAGCGGCATACCATTACTCGAGGTACTCTCTATCTCTCCTCTCTCTACACTTCCACATTTTCTGAATCACACAGCAGAATCAACATTCTTGTTGCGTTAAATGTAGGCATCTGCGGACAAGAAATACGGTAACTTGGGAGCTTATAGACACTATAAGAAGACAACTAGGTACCATACTAGCTCTTTTAATCAAGTTATTGACCCTCGATATGTGTAGTAAGAACTAAGTGTCTCCTCTTTCAATTGGAATCTTTGGTTTTACAGCCCCCTGATTTTGTTACCGCGAGGAGTGTATGGGTTCTTACCAAAATGGTGCAAAACAGTCTTTCTCTTTGAGTTTCCATTGTACAGCCGGAATCTCCCTCAAGAAACTACAGTCTGGTGAGTCTCCTAAATATGAATGAATTCATCTTTTTTGGTTTCCATTTATTTGCAACATTACGAAAGTTGTAAGGTGAACTTATGAGCTTTTGCATTTGATCACGCTCAAGGGATAGAGGAGACTCAAAGAAGAAGAACCGGAGAAGTATTGACTGAGGGAGACAGAGAGAAACGATATGGTTACAGTTTTCGCTGAAACCCATCTCAAGTTCTTTCATGATAAAACTCTCTTTCTAGTATAGATTCTCATTGTCTTTGAAGAATTGTGAAAAGTGACTGATACATCGATTGAGAATAATACATTAAATCAAGATTCAAAAAAGTGTTGCAAGGAAAATTACATATGGTTGAAAAGTAATTTCTTTGATCGTTACTCTTAAGGAAAAAGCTATTGAAGGGAACTGTTATTGAAGTTCTCTAAGGAAATCACTGCACCTGATTTGAGTTCACGTGAAGAAGAAGCATTGGAATCAGAAAGTAAGATGTATAATACCCAGAGATGAAGGCAAACCAGATAGAGCAAAGCCCATACTTTGGTTGTCGGGTTTCTACGGAAGAAGACGGTTCCCGAGATGAATATAGCGTTCAGTTGCATTACTAACCATCCTAAATGTTTCTTGCCTGACCGGATTTTATCTTGAAGAGCGGGTTTAAACTTTGATCCTGAGAGCTCCCACTCTCCTGCTTCAAGATCTTGGGATGAGGCTTCGGTTGCAGATATACCTTTGTTTTCTTCTATAAGCCTTGATACGGCCTGGCAAAGAGTAAAAGTTGGTTGTGTGTGAAGAACATATTTTTGTTTGGGAAGCAAGTTGGTGAGATTCATCTATGTACCTCTATTCTAAACGACAGGGTTGCTTTCTCCGAGGAAAGCGCTTCGACCTGGTAAAATTGGCAAGAAAGGAAGGAAATTTATATAACAATTAGTTTTGTATAACAATTATTTTGTCTGAATGTCTCTATTTAAAGTGTTCATATACCTGGGATTGTTTTTGAATAAGATGGTCAGTTAGCTGATCAAGTCTTCGTTTCAGTTCAATTTCCACTTCAGTTGGTTCTTCGAGTTCTTTCCTCATCGTTTTGATGTCTGCTTCCAGCTTATCTGCCTGGAATTTTAACAAGGATTCAAGTAAAAAAGGAAAAAATAGTGAGAGACTGTTCCTCATTAATAAGCCCAAAAGCTCTAGAACATGTATGGAATTTCCAATCTTTCATGAAGAATTCTACGGCTGTATATATTCCAAAGGAAACCTGAAGAATATAAAGTCAACCAAACAAATGTGGTAGCTAACCTTATCCTGTAAACGACCGATTTTATCAGTCAGCAAAGAAATCTCTGCTTCAAGCATCTGGTGTTCGAATACCTCTCCTCTAGAAGCATCTAACTACATAGCCAATACAAGCAGCATGATTCTCAGACCAGTTAGAGAAAGATTTACATGCTTAAATGG